GGAAAAAAGTTTAGAATTGATGGGGATGTACTCTCATGGACTTTGATTGCCATATGTAGTGAGAAAAAAGTTAGAGTCGGTGCCGATGTACTCGGATCATTAAAGGTACATGAGAGTGCATTCCCATCGATTTTAAGATTCTTCCCAGTACATATGACGGTCAGAGTACATGAAAGTGCATGAAATTATAGGTGTAAATTAGAGTGCGATTGTACTTGTATTCGCGCACCTCTGTGATAATACATGAGAGTACATACCCTCTTATAGCGGAAATGGGAGTGATGTCGATTTCAGAATAGAATTTGTACTCGTACCCACGCAGCCCTCCTTTTTTGAGTGGTGAAAGAAAGGTTTAATTCTAATTTCGACTCAATTGCTTAGCTTCTTCATATTATTCGAGAATATTTATTTATGCTTGATATACTGGTGTTTCGTTTGTTTTTACTTTCTGTATTGCAATAAAACGTCATTACCGAAGAATCTTGTTGAATGATCGAATGCTGATAGTTAATGACTATCGATGATGTTGTTAATGGTGTGGGCGTGAGTTTTATTCCTTTTCCGTTCATACATACACCCTCATTCGCTCGCATTCCACATCCACACTCACACTCATGCCTATCTTAAAGGCATTTTTGTTATTCGATCCATTCTCGTATGAAACAAGAATAAGCTTGAGTGTGGGTGTGGATGTGCGTGTTGATCTTGTCTTCACCCACACCCAAATCTCCGAAGCGTCTAAATCTATTAGATAAATTGGCGCGATTAAATTATTATGCAAATCTCAAGCCATTGTATCCGAATTGATGGACGGTGCCAGCGTCATCAATGGATTCATTAGTTTTCAATTATGACATAGTCAAACTATCATTAGATGAAATTTATACTGGAGGTGGTTCTCCTTCTATCAAAGCGAACGGATATTTAGAGCAAATGCACAAATTTTCTATATATTTTAGACTGAAATTAGGTAAATGAAATTTTTTGTTTCATATATAACGGAAAAAATACTAGTAGCTTCTGTGATCGCAGGTCTCTCTTGGTCTAACAAGCAATGCAAAAAAAAGTTTAAGAGTCAGTTGCCATATGAGAAAGCTCACGTTGATCTTGTTATTGTTTGGGCTCGTCAGAAGTTCCAACAGTAAGGAAATGCATTTTTACTTTGAGAGATACCTTTTGACGTAGAATTTAAAAAACTAAAAAAGGAACTTTAAGAACTGAATGGATAAGCATAGATTCTTTATTTTTTCTCTAGGTCATTTGGTCTTTTCTGCTACAGAAGAAGTTTCATGCTCATTATAACGTATTGAAAATTGTTTACAAGATATTTTGTGTGCAATTAAATCGTTAATAAAATATTTAGAGAGAATTAAATGTATAAAGTATTTTAAAACGTTTTATGAATCAATATTAAAAGAGGCCGAATCATTAACAGAAGAACCGGTTATACCATGTCTTAGGATACCTCCGAGACGTTTTACTGATACAATACGTGCACCAGCAGTTTATCAAAGTCCCTATGATATGTATTATCAACAATATTTTGATGTTATTAATAATGTTTTAAGTGCATTAGATTTACGTTTTCAACAATCTGTGTTTCCATTGTTACGTAAAGTAGAAAAATTTATCATAGCAGCAGCCAATGATACGAAAGAAGATGATAGTTTAAATGTCGAAAATATTGTTGAATTTTTAAATGATGATATTGATATTCCACGTTTAAAATGCGAGTTAAATTTATTATCTGATTATTTTTCAACTATTAACTTAGAGAAAAATTTCAGTTTTAAAAAGATTACAAAAATTCAAACCATTTTCGATCTACTCAATGCACAATCTGTTGGAAAAACTATGTTTCATGAATATTGTAAATTATTGCGTTTATATTTAACAATTCCTATTACAACGGCTACGGCTGAAAGATACTTCAGTACTATGAATCGGATAAAGACATATCTACGATCAACAATGACACACCAACGTTTTAATCACGTCATTATTTCTCATATTCATAAAGAAAAGCTAGACCAGTTAGACTGAAAGAAGATTTGTTCTGATTTTATTTCAAAAAATCAGAGTAGAAAAGCCTTTTTTAGACATGAATCGTAGTTTTTGTGTTTATGACTTTTTTGTTTGCTTTAGTCAAGATTTAAGTTTTTTATGCTTATGTTGATCCTTAAATAAAAATTTTGATAATTCAGTAGAATTTTTGATTACTCTACAGGCATGCAGATGGGTGCGTGCAGAAAATCTCTTTGAAGAAAGTTGTGATTAAAGAATTAAAAAATTCGCTTCTTCGCTTAATGTCATCTTTCAATCTTTGTTTAAAAAAATGTTGAGCCTCCCCTAATTTAGAATCGTTCCGCCGCCCATGGCCAAGTCAAATTTGCTAGCTCAACTCTGGTCTACGAGATGCTTGTTTATATGGGACAATAAGAACATATCAATGGCTACATTAAGCTAATCGAAGCTTAACAGTGAAAAGGATATTGTCTAATAGACAAGTCTATTCTTCTTTCTATTAAGAACGTTGTTAACATTCAAATATAGAAATATAGTATACGGACAGAACCATATGACTTATCCAGTCATTAGGAAGATATACTTTTAGCGATTTAATTTGGGTCACTTTTTTCTTAGTGAATATTAAGAAGTTTTTTCATTTCTTTCGTAGCTTTTGCTGTAATTTGTACTATGTAATTCATTTTTTGTCAACAGTACCAAGTACTGAAATTTTTTGAATTGTACGATGTATGTTCTTTTTTTATCTGCATAATCTGCTTTTTACTTGTATCAAGTATTTATTTTTTTGTTAAATATAATTCTCTTCTTGCAAATAAATACATTTACAATAGAGAAATATTTTGATTATCTGCTGAAGGCATTCGTATATGATCTATTAGGTTATTAGACTGGAGGCAATCTTGGCCAACTACATTCATATTTAATCGAAATGGCACAGACAGAAATATAAGATTGAACCAGCAGTATTTCACATTTTAGTCTTTTCAACTAACTATTTCGACATTGTATGCTAGCGCTCTCTATCATGTTTATTTTTACATATCTCTTTTCAAAAAAAAAAAACCAAGACCTGACTTCGATAAAGAGTAATTTTCTCTATCTATATATATTAAAGCTATATCTAGCCTCTTCCAAAAACCAAAAGACCAATCAAAGATCATTTGCTATTGTTCCCCTTATTTCACTAGCATTTCTCGGATGAGCGTCCGTACTAAAACATAATACTGTTTTATTTCTCTAGTGTGTACACGGTCATAGAATGTGAGTAAAATGTTATTTTCACAAAAAACAATCGTTTGTGATTGATATTGTCTTATCCTATATTTTGATTGGCTGTTGGTGTGGATGAGATGACAGAGAAAATCAACACAACCATAACCACATCCACTCCGTCAAATGCATTTTATCGCGATTTATTAGACTGATTAATTGTGAGATTATATCGCGATTAAAACGTCTAAAGTGATGATTTTTGCCGATTTTTTTTTGCGATTATTCGAATACACGGTGGTTGATAAATAACACTAAGATAAAGATAGTTAAATACCTCTGTATCCGTTTAAATAAGTAGGCTGATCTTTTTGTTAGTGTGGGAAGTTCATTCAAAACTTTTTTCATGGGGAAAAAGCAAAAGAAATATTACTGTTAAGTATTATTTTTTTTTATCATGAAAGAAGTTTGATCTATTATCAACTAAAAAACACATGTCTAGCATTTCACAGATAATTTTCAGCTGTCAAATAGGAGAATAGTAAGAACAAGTCGAAACGAATTTTATGAATGGATCTGTATTGGTGCACGTACAATAAATTTTTAAAACTATGTGTTAGTTTAAAAGTCAAAGATGAAAATACTGCATATGTTTTAAAAATTTGCTCTGTGTGTACCAATATAGATCCATTCACAGAGTTCGTTTCGATTTTTTCTTGTTATTCTCCTATTTGACAACTGAAAATTATCTGTGAAACGCTACACATGTTTCTTTTTAGTTGATAATAGATCAAAGTTCTTGCATGATATGACAAATGACACAACAATAATATTTGTTTATTTTATCCCTCCAAAAAAATAAGTTTGAATAAACTTGTAAAACTAACAAAAAAATCGATCTCTTTAGTGGAACCGATGCGATGATATTTCTCACATTTTTTATTTTAGTATTATTTATGGATCACTCTGCAATATTTTCGATAATTGAATGTAGTCCTAGTTTTCCAATCTACAACTATGGCTAAGTTTCGACGTGTATATACCATCGTTGTTTTTCCCCCATCTGCAGTTAATAGTGCAAAAGAGGTTACTTTTTTTTAAGTTAAGTAACACTTACTGTTGATTGAGATGATTTAAGGATCTAAATAAAAGAAATTTATAAAAAAATACTCACTGTTCACTTTGATGATCAGATGATCTAAAATAGAAGAAAAAACAAGTTATTGTTATGAAACAATACTCACCACTCATGTCACACTTTTATTTGCAGTACTGTCGGTATTTCGCGTTATTCATAAGAATCGGCGGTATACTGACGACACACCAGCGATAGCACTTAGTATTTTCGTTTCCAAGTACAATCGATTGTAGAGTATTTTATACTCGAATTCAAATTTATGGAAAAAAAGAGTTTCAGAATATATTTTGTTAATGAAAGCTTTTGCAGTGCCATCTATAATAAAAAAATTTATCTCACTCAGAGTCGTAGCCGATTAGGATTGTATGGCTAGCAGAGGCGGCTCAGATCCATCAATATTAATTGAACTACATCGAAATCGATTTAAATCTATCAGTTTTAACGAACTTCAAAAGTACACACCTATCTTGATAGAATACACCATGGTATACCATTGAAAAAAAATCGCCATGTACCGCCAGTTTTTCTTCGGTTCGAATCATATGAATGTCCGCTTTAACGATCAGATGGTCTGAATAAAAAAGTTTTTTTTTCAATGAAATAATACTCACTGTTCATTCAAATGATCATGTGATATAAATAGAAGAAAAAACATATTTATTTTATATAATAATACTTCCTGATGAAGTCTGTTGAAAAATCGCGATTAATCGCCAAAAGTGACGTGGTTTTTGTGATATAGGTTCTATTAAAGAGGCTTCACTAAGAAATATTTTTTTCAAAAAAAATTGAACATAAATTTTGTTGTTTGATCTCTGTTGTATATTTATCAAGGAAAGGCTGGTTTTCAATTTCTATTCCTATATATCAACCAGAGTTTTAGATCGTCTATCACGCAAAAGATCATTCATCTTCTAGAAATTTCCTTTAGAAAATATAAGCTCATTTATATTATATCTATTTAAACATTACGACGAGAATGAAAAACAAGCACTATTTATACAGAATCGCTAACATCTGTCCATTCTGTCATAGACACTAATGATTATATTGACAACAATGCGTACGATACTTTTTTCTAGGATATGTGATATATTTCATCACAATATTCCTTTTTTTTCGAACAATATAGAACTAAAGGAAAAATGCTTAGAAAATTGTAGATTATAGAAAAGACTTGAAAAATAGAAAATTTATAAGAAATATATGTCGATTACAAAATTAGGTCTTGATAACTAAAACACGAACGAAACTTGACAAGTAGAAGTTCGAATTCTTTTGTGTAACCTGCTAATGATTACTATCCTCATTGGTTTATTCACTTGGTGGAACGTAATATATTGTAGAAGAAGAGGGTGTGGATGTGGGTGTCGTTCTTTTTCTTAGTGATAGCTACACTCATACCTCTACTCCAAAGGATTCGTATCGATATTGAATGGTTTCGTATTTTTGATGCAGAACTCTTTTTCATCCTTCGGATCTCAACAAAGTTTTCGATATTGTACCGACAGGAAGAATCATTTTAGGTTTCGCAGCTCGTACAGAATTGAAAAAATTTCGATATGAAAAATATATTTTTTAGAGAGTAATAGAAGGAAAGAATGAGAAAAGAAATGAAAATGGAATCAAACTATAACATATTCCGATTTTTATACTCACTCTTTAATTTAATTTGCTGATTTATAAACATATCAACAAATCTAATTACTTTAATGACTGACGTTTTAAATAATTTACTGAGCATCGATTTATTTTAATGACCATTCATTTATTCTACTGACCACTTAAATGATAGCCATAAAAAAATCTTCCCTGTGGTTAGTGACGGCCGCTACGTTGTGTATTTCACATTTTAATCCGGCAGAGATTTCGCTAACAACTTTTTACATGTATCTCGTATATAAGAGAGTAAGCATCTGTTTAATCTAAAAATTTGGTTACAAAAGGTTTTCAACAAGATCTATCGAATCGGCTTTTATTGCTGATTCTTCATTGATTGCCAATATATCTTTGTTGAATGTTCTTCCTCTTCTGCATTAAAACGCTTTTAAAGAAATTGAGAAAAGCATCACATTCAAAAAAAGCTACAGTAAATGAGATTATTGAAGAGAAACGAAGGAAAAAAAGAAATGCCATATAAAAAAGGAGTTCGTCTCTTTATCGGAATACAATTCATTCTATCAATACTTGAAATCAGTAGCCTCTAGCAACATAGATACTAAGAGACCAGTAAAAAGTGTATCGCTGGTTTGCGAAGAAGTAACAGAAAACTAGGCACCCTCGTCTTGAATGCTGCTATATGAGACATTAAGTTTTCGATCTGTTTCCATGTGTTGTCCACGTAGGTATGTGGTTTCTGACAGCGATGAGTAGTAATTTTTCTTCTTAAAATACAATCTTCTTTCATATTTTCTACTGATTAACTCTGTCGCTGGAGTAATTTATCTGCGAAAAAGTGCGCAACTCAGATGCCTTGACGTTGCAAGCTATAATAGAGAAAAAACTTTTGCATCGTTCTATTTTTATGATCTGAAGTTGTCAAGATGAAAAATGCGCATTATCGAAATGACATAATTGAGTCATAAAATCATCAGGTTTCAATGTTTTATTAAACAATAGCTGATTACATAATAATTAACATTTTTCCAAGTAATCATTGCATTTAATTAAAAAGGTGTTTATACAAGGTAGATGCGACTTGCAAATACCTGCAAACATCACTCGTATCTCCACAAATGCTTGAGAAGTAGACTAATAGAATACTGACTAGAGACAGTCGAGTCGAACTCATCAGTGGCTACTCTAACGGTAAAAGTCAATTATAACCCGACTATTATACGATCACAGCCAAGATGTATTGAGAAATGTGTAGAGTACGTTAGTTACTGGATCTAAATAAGCGAAAAAGATATCTCCTATCTTTAGAGAGAGGGTATGGGTGTAGATTATCGCGTGCTCTTTTGTGTGTGAGTGTAGGGTCTTCAATTCAACCAAATCCACATCCACACCCTTTCGAACAATTGACATTATTTCGAAAATGACTGAGTTTTTCCACAGCTTCTCAAGAAGCGATAGAGAGAAGATTCCTGAACAAATCATATGTGCATATTATGAATGAATCTAATTTTTTTTTCTCACTCTTCTTATATTAATAAAAAAAAGCTTCATGTTGGTTTATTACCCAGAAAAATTAGTATACGATGACGTGTTTGTTATCTTTTACAACATGTGCCCGAGCGTATTGCTTTCTTGCACCACATTGTGCCAATATTTTTGGGTTGTTCTTTTCCTTTTCTTGATTTAGAAACATTCCTTACTTTACACAATCCATTTGCTCCGTGATTCAATGAGACACCATCTGAGTCATTCCTCAAGTTTTCGCCTTTTATTTTTTTTTCTTTTACACACTTGCTTTCGTACGTTATTTTACTTTTTTAGAAGAAAAAAAGTATTACATATTATGATGCCGTGCAATGATATAGAAAGATATAAAGCATTACTTCAAAAGGAATTGAAAGTCGATGACAAATATGTAATTATTGATATTAAATGGTTAAAACATTGGAAACGTTTTGTTGGTATCGATAAATCAGATGAAGAACAAGTCACTGAACCAGGTCCAATAGACTTCACAACATTAGCCCATCCAGCAACAGCCAACAATTCCAAAGAAGTACAACTTCGTTTAGATGCTGTCGAAGAAAATGATTATACTTTCATTCCATATGAACTTTATAAAGAACTAGAACAGATATATAACAGAATCGGTCCTGAAATAATTCGTAGAATAATTCCACAAGGTCAATTTAAACCTACAATTGAAGTTTTTCTTATACCATTACGACTTCGTGAATCACGAGATGACACTTCAAAAATAAAACAAATCTATCGTAGTCGTCGAACAAAGATAGAAGAAATAAAAAAAGATATTTGTAATGAATTTTGTATTCAATTAAGATCAAACTACCGATTATATTCATCAATGGATGACAATGGTCAAAAGTGGGAACTCATCGATGATGAACCAGATTCAATTCTTGCAGATATTGGTTTAACAAAAAATGCATTTATCATATATGAAGATCAAGCATTATCATTAGAAACATCTTCTTTATCAAGAACAGAGTTCACTCGTGGACTTTGTGGTTTATCAAATTTAGGCAATACTTGTTTCATGAATTCAGCTTTACAATGTTTATCAAATATTCCAGCATTAACAGAATATTTTCTTAGTGATAAATATAAAGAACATATAAATCGTGATAATCCATTAGGTATGAAAGGTGATATTGCTATGGCATATGGTAAATTAATACATGAAATGTGGTCAGGTAATACAGATTTTTGTGCACCAAAACTTTTAAAACAAAGTGTTGCAAATTATGCACCACAATTTAGTGGTTTTTTACAAGAAGATTCACAAGAATTTATGTCATTTTTACTTGATGGTTTACATGAAGATTTAAATCTTATCAAAATAAAACCATATGTAGAAAAGAAAGATGATGATGGAAAAACTGATGATACAACATTAGCTAATGAACAATGGGAATATTATCGAAAACGAAATCAATCAAGAATTCAAGATATATTTCATGGACAAATTAAATCTCTTGTACAATGTATTACATGTGGAACAAGTGCACGTACATTTGATCCAGTCTGTTTTCTAAGTTTACCATTACCAATTAAAGTAAAAAAACGAACATTTAAAATCGACTATGTTCGTTTAAATGGACAAATTAAAACTTATCATATTAAATGTGATGAAGATGGTCGCGTATGTAATTTAGTTCAACAATTTTGTGATCGTTTTCAAGAGAAAAAGAAAAAAATTCATGAAAATAAATCTATGGTAACTACTGATACCGCATCGAAATCAGGTGAAACTAATCAAGATGAAGAAGATGATGATGATGAAGAAGAAGAAGAAGAAGAAGAAGATTTTACAAAAGCAGACGATTATGATGGACATAAACCTACACCAGATTATATTTTAGCTGTTGAAGTTTACAATCATAGAATTCATTTACAATATCGAGATAATTCTCCTTTAACAAATATACTTAGATGTGATAAAATTGTTTTTTATGAAATATCTTATCCATCAAAAAAAGAAGATAGTGAAAAAATTTCAATTCCATGTATATTTCGAGATGACTATTATCATTATGATTTTGGTTTACCTATTTATGTTAGTGTACCAAGACATAATTGTAAAGGAAAAGATATTCAAGAAGCATTACAGGTAATACTCAATATTTCCATCATTTTTTTTTATCTATTTGTTATGATTGGTTTTTTTTTATAGAAAACAATCAGTAATTTTCTTCCATTACTTTCAATGGATTCATCAGATAAACCACTTTATACCGCTTTATTGACTGTCAACCAAAGTTATAATTCAACAACTCTATCATTAGAATCACTTCTTGATGATTATATTGATTTTACTCATATAAGTAGAACAATTATTGTTGATGTTACATTATCAATTGTTAAAAAATATAAAAAACAAGAAGAAGAAAAACGTTTAGAAAAAGATGTCATTTCACCAATGACTTCTGGTGTTCAAACACGTAATAATCAACAAAAACGACCAAAATCATTATTAGATTGTTTTAAATATTTTACAAAAAAAGAAATATTATCTGATGATGATCTATGGAAATGTCCAAAATGTAATGAATTAAAAAAAGCTACAAAAAAAATTGATATATGGCTTTTACCAAAAGTTTTAATTGTACAATTAAAAAGATTTAATTATACACGTTATTTTCGTGATAAAATTAATTTATTTCTTGATTGTCCAATATATGATTTAGATTTATCACAATTCGTTTTAAATCCAGATGAAAAATTAAAAGCAAAATATGATTTAATTGCTGTTAGTAATCATACAGGTTATTTAGGTGGTGGACATTATGCAGCACATGCAAAAAATTGTATTGATAAAAAATGGCATACATTTAATGATTCATATGTATCAGAAGTCAATGAAGATAGTGTTATTACTGAAGCAGCTTATGTTCTTATTTATCAACAACAAGAACAATCATTATCAGAAAATGAATGTGCAAAATAAATGAAATACTGATGTTTTTTAATTTCTTTATGAAAACTTCAATTATTTTTCTTTTCATTTCAATCATCTTTTTTTTTCAATTGATATAAGCGAGAGAAAATTTTTCATATATATAGTTTGACGTTCTTTAATAGACATTCACTTTTTTTTTTGTTTTTCTATACTTATTCACGAACAAAAAACTAACAAATTCTTTTTTTGAATTGTGTCTTTGTGTTTTTTTTTGTTTCAAGTTATTCAATAATAATGATTCAATAGCACAAAATCTTAATAATCGTGTGAGACATAGTTCATTTCTAAATATTTAGTGCAACTTATCTAAATAATGTAACATTAATATCAGAGATAAATGATCATGAAAACACGAAAAACAAAATCTAATATTGTGGTTTGTGTTAAATTTTTTCTTTAATAATAAACTTTTCACTAATTGTATCTGAATTCTAGTTGTATGATCTAGATGCTTTTCTATTGAAGGATTATTTACATAAAAGTCATTATGTTTTTTTTGCAGATAATCGATATAAAATATTTTGTTTCATACCGATGAACTAAAGTTTAGGGGCAGTTGTATTTTGAAGGTTTCTTTTCGATGGTAATAACTAGGAATAATCTGAAAAAAAAATTTATATAGTTAAAAAAATTCTCTATCACGATTTGGTAGGTCCAAAGATTTCAACAAAACTGCTTGGATGAGAATATTCAGAAAAACCTAGACCTTCAAAAAAAACAGAGTTCTAGTATATATTTGAAGGTTTTGAAGAAAAATTTTATTTGACAAAGCAAAATAAGATCTCAATCGAAATGAATTCAATTTACAGAAGATTCCAAACATGGCAAAATCGTTGAAATTTTCAATAGAAAGAAGATATAAGTGATTATTGATGGGACTGCTGTAACGGACGTCCGCTGTTTGAGCTCATATTAAACAGAAGAAGATCTCGATGAGATTAGCAATAGTTCAAAAGGGATCGTCTTCATCGACCTTTGGCGCTAAGTTATGATTAGTTTACTGGATGTTCGACTCATTTATGAATATTCTGACTATTTCAGTTAAAAAAAATGTTCTTTCATCAAGACATTGAATTTTCTAAAATAGCTCTTTGTCACAAAAATCGAATTCACTTGAATATAAATTAGTTTTGCGAAGGAGCATTTGTTTTTGGCTGAAACGTTTATGATAATCTAAATATAATCTATGTCTCTATTAGCAACATTTTGAATCGAAATTTGGCTATTTGGTTTTTCTGGTCAAAAGTTCCCTTGTGAGAAAGTTGTGCGTGTGGATATCACCAGAAGATAAATACAAACATATCCACACTATATAATTGTTTATGTAAGAATCTTTCAAGTCATATTCACAATCCAAGTCATTGCTGTTGTTAATGATGATGATGAGAATCTAAATTAATTTAATAAGATATAATGTATCGTTATAACTTTTATATCTAATTTGATGAAAATAAAATTTATCAAAAATTTTAAATGATAATTTGAGACTGTCATGCTTTAATATTAAATTAACATTTTACATTATGTTCTAATGTATATTGAAGCATTTTTGAAACAATTACTCTATTTTGAAGTCAAATCAATAATATATACAACAGTCATCAAAAATGTTCTTACCAGATAAAAACTATTTGAACATGAAAATTTTCTTTCTTTTGAAACTATTAACTAATTGTTCATTACATCACATTAAACAAAGTTCTAAATCAAATACTATCTACAAATTGTGTTCTTCATATCTCAACTATTTGAGCATGTCTATTTTCGAGCAATACCTCATGCATAAGCTTAACATTGTAACTGGCTTCGATCATTATTTCGAAATGTTTGAGACATGTATTCTTCAATGAAAAATTCTATCGAGCAATTAAAATCAAGTTCTCACATCAAATACGTCGTATATTAAGATTCACGATGAATTAAATCGATTTATTTGAAAATTTTAGAACAAACTTTCTATGGATCAATGGAATTTTAATGAAATATTTTAATACTTATGTACAGATATATTTTCGCTGTCTTTTTGATATTTACTAATCTTCTCTAGCCCGATGTTTTAGTTCTTACTTTTTTGCTCAAAAATATGCACAAAAAATTTCAGTACATTCTCATTTGTAACAATATATATTCTTTGATATGCATTTTAAACTATGATTTTCTTTCATTCTCTTTTCTATATTGTAATACTTTAATTTTATGTAAAGCAATTTGTAATTACCCCATATATATTTTGTTTTTATTTGAGTAATAGTTGAAAATCAACATAATAAAGGCATATCTACATGAAGAAAATAGTCTTTGAAATATTTTGGAAATTGAAGAAATATATTATAGCAAACATAATGCATTTTAGCATAATTGATCCTTGTTCGATCTCTTTCAAAATTGTCTGTTAGTAATTGCAAAGATTCGTAGTGAACATATTAAGACGAACATTATTTGATACACACAATTTTGTGTCAAGTAAAAATAGTTCGATATAATCATCATGACCTTCATTGAGATTGAGTTTAGTAAGATGAGAATATTTAATAATTAATAAATCTTGATTGTCATTTTTTGATTTGTTTTTCAGTAGGTTTTTTTTATTAATTACAGTTAATTCTTTTCGTAAATAGAAATGATTAAGCAATTCGAAGAAAAAATTCATATTCAAATGGACGTTCATCATGTAATGATACTTCATAAACATATTTAAATAATCTACTTGGAAAATTATTTGAGATATTATTATAATGTTTCAATCTATATATGGATATGAATAAATAAGACAATAACTATAATGGTTCTCTTGGAAATAATCGATACAAGAAATAATTTGATTATTAATAAAATCTTTGAATGTATGTTGAAAATATTCTTTTTTAAACTATTTTCATCAATAAATCCTTTATAACGATCGGCCTTAAGATGCAAATGCAGTTTTTCTAAATTCAACATTTGTTGTAGAAGTGGTACACTTAATTCATCATAATAATGTGTACACATATCACTATGTAGAGATAAAACATCTTAGATTGGGTAGTTTTTTTTAAACAGAGAATAAAAATTAATTTATATTGATCAATTTGATACTAATCAAAAATTATCTACCTCATTATTGATTGTTAAATCAGTATACTTGATTCGATCAATATTAACATGAAATGTATGAAGTTGATTGAAACGCCCATCAAGTAAATAAAGACAATCAGTGAAATAATAAACACAGACATGTAATTCTAACAGAGTTGAAGAAACAATAGTTGGAGTGACATGTCAAATAATAATCGATCGAAGAAGAATTAAGATGGATAAAAATTAACATATTCTAAATTGGTAAACATAGACAAGATATGTGTAGATAAAATTTGATGGACATATCGGGATGAAATGTAGTTATTTGGCGTAATAATAATAACAAATGATGATATTTGATTTTTGACTATATGAGTAAAAACATTATCATCTAAACAAAAATAAAAATGTATTAAGAAAAAAAAACAATCGTTATTAATATTAATCAAATCATACTATTGATTTTTCTTTCAATTCATTTACAAACTAATAATCCAACATATAAATTTATACTTAGAGTACTCTCAATAATCTACTCTACTCTATTATAAATATAATAAAATGAATTATGTTCAACTTTTAATTACTATTCATGTATTCAAAATTAACATAATTGAACTAAAGTAACTAACCAGTAAAAAAGTGATAGAGCTTTTTTGATGTCAATTCCATATAAACCAAGTTCATATAAATTAGGATAATTTGTAGAAAGAAGAGTAAGTTTCATAGATAATGATACAAGAGTAAGTCTTTGATTTTATGATGAATTTCCGGTAAGATTTTCCAACAAACTCGATCTAGTATTGAATCAGGTAATGGATAGATAGAATCATACGACAAATATTTTAATAAAGCTCAATCACTAGTAAAAATTGAATCATTTACAATGTTATTTAATCGTTTATTGACACCCAATAAATAGTAAAGTACTTCGACATTGTTCAAGTTTTTGAATATAATCATAAGAATTTCATCGAGTAAATCATTCAATTGAACATGTGAATATGCTATGTTTATTTTCACCTATATTAACCCTTTGAAAACGCGGGATATATTTGCCCCATCTATTTTTCAGTACAGAAAATGTTTGCTCTACATTAAACTGTTACAATCTTTAAGGTAAATAGGTCGTCTATCTGCCATCTCATGCAGGTCTGGTGTGGGTGTGGGTGGGCGTGTGTGGGTGTGTGGGTGTGGGTGAGGGTGTGGGGTGTGGGTGTGGGATGTGGGTGATAAAGCGATAACCCACACTCATACTTCGCATTGACACCCACACCCACACCTACATTCACAACCCACCTAGCCGATCTAGCCTTACAGGCGATGTTCGTAGTTGTTATGCTCATTGCTCGTTCTCAAACTACATGTATGGAACAATTCTGATGATTCCAAGCAGATAAATGCTGCGCTACTTCTTGCCATCATTATTGCTTTGATTGACGTTATCGCTCTGATTCTCTATCGTAGGTATGGGTCGTTTGTCTTAATCTATCGAAATTTGTAAAATAATCTATTTTTTAGGCTGTCAAAACTATTTTCATGCTTAAATTGAGCAATTTATTGAAAGAAAACAATCAGCAAGTTGTATAAACAATTGTTGATATATAGTATATGAAATATTTCGGTGCTCTAAAACATAAAGATTGATCCTTTATGATAAGCCTAGAATCATTTTTTCAGTATATTAACGACAAGATACTTTCTTTTCTATCAACTTATTATTTCACAATATGGCAAAAAAAATAAAAGAAAACTTGTTCACATCAAAAGATTTTCGTCGATATAATATAGATCTTATTTTATTCTCGCTCGATCAAGGTCGAAATCTATGGCAACTATTAAACTTTATCTAGGCAATTTTAACGACGTTGTTAAATAGTGACTTCGAGTGTACCGTTTTTTATGCTGAACAGATAGAATTTTGATCATTT